TGGTAATCAGAATTCTAGGCCACAGAATCTGGAGACTGAGCAAACCTTGGCCTACACCTTAGGAGATCTGAGGACAAGGTCACTTAGAAAGCAGATGTTTGGTATGTATACCTCAGGGGCTCTTAAGGGCTTACATCTACAATAACTAAAGAGTCATTGAATATGGGAGGAAGTCCAAATGGCTTTTCCAAGTATCCAGAAATGCTGTCTCAGGAGAAGAAATATGTTTTAAAAACAGGTAAACAATAGAAGGAAGAACGTTTATTTTTATTTTCATCTTTGTTATAGAGTCTTGATATGTAGTTTGGACTCACAGTGAGCCTTTCTTTCTGCCTCCCCAGCACTGAGATTACAGGCTTGAGCCACCACACCCAGTTCCGGGCCTGGCATGGCATGCAGTACTGGGGATCAAACTCGGGACCTTGAGCTTGCCAGGCAGGCACTTATGCCTCTGAGCTACCTTTCCAGCCCAGGAAGAATGTTTAAAATGCACCAGGACCAAAGCATAATCTCAAGACTCAGAAAGGCCGCATGCCAAAATAAAAAAGGACTGCAGATGTAGCTCATTGCCAAGGCCCGGGGTTCAATCCCCAGTAGTGCAAACAAAAACATGAACATTATAATTGTTCCCAGCATATATGCACTGAATCCAGTTTCCCTCTTCTTGGAGTCTAAGAGTCACGATAATAGAGACAGGACAAAGGTGAGGGTGGGAAAGCTCCCAACAGTGATTAGAATGACCTGAATTCTCATCCAGAGTCAGAAGAAACTCGGGGTAAATTTTACAGACACTTTAAAATTATAGCTCAGGAATCTTGTCTAACTCAACATAGTTCAGAAGTAAAAGGGTGGGAGCCACGACCTCACATATCCTAGGCCAGTGCTCTACCTCTGACACTGTTAAAGCAGGTTTTACATAGGAAGTTTTAGAAGCTGAAGATGTAGCTCAGGGCACAACACTTGCCTAGCAAGTGTGAGGTCTAGCTTCCATGTCAACATTGCAAAACAAAAGCCACACCTCCTTTTTCACCAACTTTGCTGGGTAATTAAAACTTGGTGTGATTTATAATTAGAACACAACACAGGTTTCCTACTTCGGTCCTTTCTCTTTAGTGGCACTTTTGCTAAGAACAGTATTTCGTCCCGAAGTAGGCTCTGATTTCAGGTCTGTGGGCGATCCAAATCCAGTACTAAAACGAGAACTATTTTTTGTTTCGTTTTGTCATTTGAGAAAAATCACCACCAATTCCAATCATATGGAAAATAACAATAGGGTTACATTTGTGAGTCATTTCATAGTTTCTAAAGCCCTTCCACTTCCACTAGGATTTAATTCCTTTTGCCACTAGGAAGCAGGGGGTCAGACGCTGCTCCATCTACAGCGGAGGAACTGATTCTGCTCACAGATGCGCAGTCATGGGGACCAATGTCACTGCAGAGCCACAGCAACAGGAGAGTCTGAAACCCACACTGCCCCGCCACTTTTCCAGAAATCCTTGCTACAACAATTCAAAAAGCAATTGCATGACTAGCAGAAGAAGAATCAAGTTGCCAAAATCTAGAACCCAAAATATGTATTCACTGGCAGAATAAGGGGAGGGTTATTTGCATATAGATAAAACATTTTCTTACTTGGGCTTTTCTTTACTTGCTCTTCTTAATGAAGATGAAGAAGAAATACTTCGCCCATAACTCATGTCTGATGATTTATCTTCCATAGACAGAGAACTAAAGTCTGATGATTTATCTTCTGTAGACAGAGAACTAAAGTCTGACGATTCATCTTCCATAGACAGAGAACTAAAACGTTATACATTCAAAATTATGCACAAATTAAAATTCACTCATCGATATTGGCTTTGTACTCTAAAACAATTTCCTGCAGAAAGTCATATTTGGAGCAGACTTTAACAGTGACATTCAATTTTAAAAGGTTAAAGAAGAGGTTAAAGATAAAAGGAATACTGTCACAAAGATTTTCACAAGCTAGGACAGGAGATAATTGTATAAAATGTAATATGTAGATATTATACAGATATAGAGATATGTAGAATCACTTTCCAGGATACTGAAACTTTAATTTGTAGCCCTACTATTTATTTCTTTCAAAGAAAAATGGTGGGTGGTAGTTATATTCCAGCACATGGATCTGCAGATGAGTGGACATCATTCATCTCTGTCTGCTCCTTCCTACACTTCAGTTACTCCAAGGTGACAGTCCTAGCTTCAGAAATCTACTGGCATATTTTCAGGGAGCCAAAGGGAAAGAGACTACAATTGAACTTGTGGTGGTAGTTATTCCATCGTTATTCTAGGAGCTTGTATCAGGGCTAGAAGTGTGTGTACTGTGTTTTCACAGTGTTGTTAGATACAGGAAAAAAGAGAGATACCCATCGACAAACACACAAACAAAAATATGCTTCCCCAATCTGCCTACCCTGGCAAAAAAACTCACGCATAAAAAGATTTGTTGTTGATTAAGAGAACAGCACGTCGATGACCAGGTTCTTGCAAGCACAGCTCCTTCAGTGGCAAAAGTTTGGTGCCAGCATTTATCTGAAAGATAATGTAAAGACCCAATACAGGAGCCTTATTGCTAGAAATGAGTTCTGGTGGAATATGCTCTTAACAGTTGACGAGTCTAATTCACTTACATGCGCACAACACACACATATAAAATTAGAACTAGCAAAGTGAAGTTGTGGACATTCTTGCTTTTGAGCAAAACACATCCCTCCAGTTCCCCACAACCTTTATTGCGTTCACCTCACCTGTTTCACACCAAAGTTACCTTTGCTTCTGAACTGTTTGAGTTTGCAAATCTGTCTATACACTCTAGAGAGGACTTACCATCTGGAAAAGTAAGTAGTGAGACCCTGCCACTTTCCCACTTGATTCTGATTAGAGGTCTCTACTTTGTTCTGCCAAGGGTCTTTAAGGCTCACACAATTGATCAGTTTGACCTCACCCTGTCCATGAGTTCTAGCTACGCTGGTCTTGCTGCTCCTCAGAGATGGCCAAGCATGTGCACTCTTTCTGGCTTTTTGCAGTGCTGGTTGGCTTTGCCTATGGAACTATTCTCGGTGTCCCCAAGGCTAAGTCATTCACCTCCTCCACGCCTCTACTCAGATGATATACCTTCTGTGAGGTCGCCTGACCTTCAGGTTTAAAATGGTAAGCATAAAATCCAACACTTCAGGGTTGGCAACATAGCTCAGCAGACTAAGAGCCAGCTTAGGCAAATGCAGAGACCTGGGTTTGATCCCTGGCATCACATGCCATGCAGGCCCCACCTCTAGGTGCACTGAGCTGGCAAAGACCAGGTGTGGTGGTGCACACCTGTAATCCCAGTGCTGGGGAGGCTGAAAACAGGAGGATCACTATGAGTCCGAGCTTCACAGAGAGCCCCTGTACCAAATATATTAAAAAAAAAAAATAAACCTTCCTGACACCGCAGGCCTCCTAATTCACCTCTGCCCCTTCACTTTACATCCTTCTATCTCTCATTGCTATCATGTGAACTTATTTAGAATGTTTGCTGGTCATTGTAGTGAGTTGTTGTTTCAGAATGAGCTGGCTTTCTTTGAGGAGTATTTTGGTGGCTCCTGTGTGTGGTACTGGGTGCTACAGGGTACAGGGTCAGCGGTGGAGGAAGTAAAGTTTTGGGCTAGCTGTTTCTCATTATTTAAAAAGTCTCAAATTCTTCGATACTGTGACCCTCTACTTTCTGCAAATATAGCTCAGCTTTGAGGCTCTTTCATGGCTCTGTCTATTCTGTTTTTTTTTACATCATTGGTCCAACAAGGCTTCTGCCAAGAGCAGCCCAGTCTTGAGTTTTACACCTGCCTTGCCAATAAGGCATCCAGCTCTTGCTCTTTCAAGTTCTCTTACCTCAGAAAGTAAATGTTGGGTGGTATTTTCTGAGATCTGCCACTACTACTTTTGTTCTGATTATTTTTCTTCTTTTCCTTTTTTCTTCTGCAGTTCCTGCCTAATCATAAGGGCTTTTGGCAATCTTTAAAATTTTCTAAAGTCTCAAAGTCATGTTTCCCAATTTTTCCTAAAATGGAATTTGTGGGGTTTTAAAGTTTTCCTCATAGGGCCAGCCAGATAGCTTCAGTGGACTAAAGCGCATACTTAGGCAGGCACAGGGACAGGGATTTGATCCCAGGGTGCTGTGCCAGCCCCACCTCCAGGGGGCACTGAGATGGTGATTTGAGACTGGGCGTAGTGGCACACACCTGTAATCCCAGAGTTGGGAGGCTGAAAACAGGAGGATCACTATGAGTCCGATCTGTGTAGTGAGACCCTATAGACCCTGTACGAACTACATAAAAAAGTATATATAAAAAAAGTTTTCCTCATGACCTTGACTGCTTTTGGTTTCTAGAAGAAGTAGAAATTGTAAATTTAAGCAGCCAAGTCAAAAAGATCATTAAGATTTTAATTTTTTCTTCCTATTATCTTAAAAATAGCACTGAGTTATGTTGTTTATTAAAATTGTGATCATACAAGCAGTTAAATGTTTCTGCATTAAAATTTAAAATTTAGTGTTAGAATTGGGTTAATGTCAATTATATAATTAATAAAATATCTTATCACTAACTCTAAGCCCTGGAAGTAATATAATTTACTGTTGAAGGTATAAAGTTGAAATTGAAATTGCTTCAAATTTAAAATACCCCTTCCTTTTATATCTTATTCAAAACTGGAGATTGGCATTAGAAAGATGATTTTAACTATGAATACATAGATTCTAGTTAAAACTGTACAAAAATGCAAAATCTTATATGCCAACAAAGTTAAGGTTAAGTGCTGATTTTCAAATTTCTTTCTGTACAAATATAAATTGTTCAGTCTTTATAAAATGGTAATATGCCATCATGATTAAAGGAAAAATTATCATATAGACTAAAATATAAATAAGTACACACTTACCCGACCATAATCATAGAATCCATCACTAATTATGTCATTTGATGACAAATAGCCAGTCTGGCTGTATTTCAGGGAAAGGTTATTGTTGAGCAATTTTTTATAAGCTGCCTCACTGATTATATTTTTTCGACTAACTGATAGATTAATTTCCTCAAGGATATCCAAAGCCCTGTCAATAAAAGCAAAAAAGTTTTGTTTTATGCAAGTGATCCACTGTTGAGTTCCCATCGATATACTTAAGATCTTAAATGAAGAATTGACATGGAGAGCTTAATGCCTCCTGCACTCATCTAGGTAAAGTAACCCTGATAGAATTATGAAGACAAGTCACCCTTTGGTTAGAACATATGTGCCTCATAATAACTCATGTCCAAGCAGTTGTGAAGGAAACTGCTACGGTTTAGAAAGGGTCCTCCAAAGGCCCACATGTTGAGAGCTTGGTTGCCAACCTTTGGCACTATTAGGAGGTGGTGGAACCTTTAAGAGAGTACCTAGGAAGAAGAAATAAGGCCACTAGGGGCACACTATTGTGGGGATATTGAGACCCTGCCCTTTCCACTCTCAGTGCTTCCTAACGCCTGTGACATGAGCATAGCTTACTTTAACATTTTGTCCCTGGGACAATGACAATGTACTGCCTACCATGATGAGAAAGCAGTGTGGCTGGCTAGTTTACCATGGACTGGAACCTCCACAACTGTGAACCAAATAAATCTTTCCTCTTTGTAAGCTGATTTATTTCAGTACTTTGTTATAGCAATGGAAAGCTGACTAAGCAAACAGTTTTAGGAAAAATTCATTGTATTGGAACAGACCCTAACATATAGATATATATATATATATATATATATAACCTTACTTGTTACTTACTACTATAGTAAATGCAATAAAACTCATTTTCTGTTTGTCAGGAGAACAGACTGGGGAAGGAAGTTATATATAGAATCCTAATAAAAAGATATGGATAGGTAGGGAAGGGAAAAATCCAGATGATAGTCATGACTTGCTTGTTTTATTTTGACCTTGAAGTAGAGGGAGAGATAGGGCAGTGTTTGACAATGGCAGAGAAAAGCCAAAAGGAAACACTTTCCAAGATGAAGAAATGAAAAGATGACTGTATAAAGATCAGCTGGGGACCCTTCGGGAGGTAGGTGAAGAACACCCTTCCTTTAGGTGGTCTCCCCAACACTGAAGGCCTGTGCTGTGGATCACTGGGGCTCCTGAACGCTCTGCCCCCTTGGGAGTGCAGCACACACTCTCTGTCTTCTGCTCATCATCTGGGGGGGGGGTGGCGTCACTCACCCGAGCTTGCACAGCTCAGTGGCCGTCAGCTCATCATTGGCACAGACCATCACGGCCTGGCTGGCGCTCCTTCTGACTTCATCGTTCTTGGAGTGCAAGAGCTCCACCAGGGGCTCCAGCCCACCTTGATTTCTTAGCTAGAAGGGGACACTAACATTTTACACATGAAGAACATAGGGCAAAAACATTTACGCCTACTAAGACAACAATATACAATGTATTAATTATTGAAACTGTCCTGCTAATTGGATTTGAAACTGTCTCATTGCTTTTTATTTCTCAATAAAATTATTTTTAAAAACCATTTATGCTTTTTTAAAAATCTCATTATTAGATGAAAGGTCATAACCATGTGAAAATCTTTAGAATGTGTCCATATTCAGATTTATTAAATCCCATGGGAAAAATCTAGTGCATAACGTCAAGGACAAGAGGCAAATTTTCCATGACAAGAGACACCAGTAAAGTCATAGCAGGAATTCACAGGTTTTGGTGGGGAGTGGGGCAAAGGAGGGGGTTGGAGGTTGGGTGTTTGCAGGGGTTGAGGAACGTGCTTGACCTGGGAAGGAGCCTGTCTTCTCACTGTCTACATGGGGAATGCTCTAATTTACTCTGCTTCTACTTCTGAATACAGAAAATTTACTTGGTTCTGAGAAAGACCAAATAACAACCCTCCAAAGAGGTCCATTTCCCTATAAGGGTCTTTTCACATGAGGTTAGATTAAGGATTTTGAGATTGGGCTCTTTTTCTTGATCATTCAGCGGGTAGAACATAATCACAGGATCCTTACAAAAGTAAGACAGCAGTGCCAGAAGCACAAAAGAGATGAGATAGAAATGGATACTGGATGATGTGCTTTGAAGATGGAGAAAGGAGCCCTGAGCCAAAGACTACAGGTGGCTTCTAGGAGGTACAAAAACAAAGAAATGGATTTAAAAAAAAAAAAGCCTTCAGAAGGAACATAGCCCTGTTGACACATTTATGTGTTTGATACCAGGTCTCACTGTGCAGCTCGGACTGAGGGTGATCCTCCTGTTTTCAGGCTCCCCATTGCTGGGATTACAGGCCTGCACTGCAGCCTGGACTAGGTGAATGTCTCAGCATGCTGAGGCGGGGGCCAGCATGGCCTGTGGCCCCAGGGATGGAACCTCAGTCCCAGCACTTCCCTAAACCAGTGCTTAATCCGCTGGGCTAGCTCACCAGCCCACATTAAGTTCTTAAAACCCATTTTTCCCCAGATTTTTGACCTCTAAAACCTGTAAGTTAATAGATTTTTATTGCTTTAAGCCACCAGGTGGTAGTACTTTGTTACAGCAGCAATAAGAAGGTAACACAATCCTCCAGCTCGAGCAGGAAAAATCAATATGGGCCACAGGTCGTACTGAGAGATCGCCACCACCCACATCTCTGGACACAGCCACCAGGTCAGAAGGGCAGTCAGAGCACTAGGGAGGCAATTCTCTAGAAAAAGACCCACTTGGGCCACCTTAGAGTGTCTTTTTGTTTCTTCAAGAACTCGGGAAGAGGAAAAAAAAAGAAAAGTACTGGATGAGTCTACATTAGTTACATTATGAAAAGAAATTACCCCCGTACAAATTAATCCAGTGAAAAACAAATCTGAGGGAGTGCTTGTTTCACATCTGAAATGCAATAGTGCATTATTTGAGCTGGATGATAAAAACTATTCCACCAAATATTCATATCAAAGATAGCATCCAAAGTCAGGAGCCTTGCGGAGAGCATTCCACTTGCAGTCAGCTGTCTCAACACAGGGACTCTGGCCCGTCCCACACTTTAGCGTATATAACTTGGACTTCATAGAAAAGTTCCCTCAGCATCCCACACTTGGCTAGTCAAAATGCCCAACGTTGTTATTTTTGCATGCAGTACAAGACAGTGACCTAACTCCATGTGTTCTTTTTGATAAAGACCTAGTTAGTTCATTCATTTCTTCATTCATTCTCTTGTTCATTTAACCAGCATTAAGTGTGTATTATGTACCACGTACGTATTAAAGACATGGGCATAGGAAAGAAAACTCTCAGCTCCTTTCCCTAAAGTTTCAAGAAGCTTTCAGTTCTTCATACAAGAACAATAAAACGTGAAAAAAGAAAATCAAGGAAATAATGTCCAGGGTGTACCAGAGTGCAGAGGAGGATGCAGTCAAGCCTGGGGACTGAAAGAGGGCCTCATGGGACACAGTACAGCTGAGAAGCCTAGGTATTTTCAAAAATTGGATCATTTTGAGGATTAAACTCAGGGTTTCATGCAGACCAGTCAAGCACTGTACCACTGAGCTACATTCCCAGCCCCTGAGCTAGGTTTTGGTGGAATTTACAGTAGAAGAAAGACTGGCTTTCCACACAGAGAAACTGAGGAGGTATACATGGCAGAATGGAACATTCTGAGAGAAGCACAAAGAGTGTGGTACTTTGGGATGTGGAGCCCCCCTGCAAAGAGCTGGAGCTTGGGCTGCTTAAAGAGGCAAGCATAGAGCATTTAAGGCCCTTGCATAGGGTGTTAGGAGCCTAACTCTTACCTTATAGCAATGACAAACCACTGGAAACTTGCAATAGTGTGACAAGGGTCCTGCATTTGCAAGTATGGGGGGGCAGTTTTCTGCACTATTACAGGAACTACAGGGACTTCTCTGCAAGAGCATGAAAAGTAGTTGACTATGACACTTTTATTACCCCTGTATTCCTGATGCCTACCATAATACCTGGCACACAGTAGGTGGTAAGTGTCTGGTGGCTCTCTTACTTCCTAAAGGGGCAAATATAAATGAACTGAGTCAAAGGAACCAAGGAAAGGAGGTAGAAGAGACATCTAGGAGAAAACAAAAAGCAGATTAGATAGTGGGCTGAATACGCAACATAATGTGAAGCTTGGGCTCTAGAATTAAGATTGCTTTCATATCCCTGATTTGCCACTTACCAACTCTATAAACAGGTTACTTCTCTAAATTTCCTTTTCCTCATCTGTGCAATGGGTATTATAAGTGTACTTATTTCAAATGAGGTTTCCGTGCATGTACAGAGTCTGGTACATAGTAGGTGATCAATAAGTACTACATTTTGTTACTTTGTTGGGAGAGAGGAACAAAATTCCAGGCTGTTGGAATTTGATGATGACAGGTACACATAAGAAAATCAAGAGTAAAAGGGTCTTTGTACATTTATGTCAAATTTTAGGCAAAGTTTATTAGAACCATTTTAGGTACTAAGAATTTTTAGATGATCAATTGTTCAAGAATTCAATTCTACATTCTGAGGACATAAACTATAAAAGAAGCACAAGAGTATACACACTATCAAGCATTACAGTAAAAGACACACCTGTTTGTCTATCACCCCACTGAAGAAGCAAGACATCAATATGACTTTGAATTTCTGAGTTTTCTCCACTCCAATCACTCTATTTCTCTGCTCAGGCAGCTACTTCCTTGAATTTAGGGTTAATTATCATTATCACCTTGCTTTTCCTTATAGTTTTAACATACGTATGTATGTGTAGGTGACACACAGCTTGGAGTTGAGTATTTCTTACATTATATAAAGGAACCACAAGTACCTATTCTTCTGTTCCTTGATTTAACTCCGCATAATGCTTGTGACACTCCTTCCCACTCTCTGGAGCTACAATTCATTCATTTCCACTGACCTGAGACTCCATGTTAGGAACACACCGTTATTTATCTATGAAGAGTGGGCCAGTTCTTTATTTCTAGTTAGATATTATAAACAATTTTCCTGGTACCCAGGAAGGACAGATTCTCTTAAGTATATAAATACTTAGAACAGAATTATCAGGTTGCTAGGGTACACTCTCCATCTTTGCTTTCAAATACACCAGCTTGTTTTCCAAAGTACTGTCAGAATTCTGACAGACTTAATGGTAGGTAGGTTCAAATAATTTGAAAATGTTTCAAATTAATATGCTGGTAGATCCTGCCCAACAAGAGGAGGGGGCAGTTACCTCTGTGCGAGCTTCCACATCAAAGGCCATGGCAGCGACGGCAAGGGCAACCCTGCTCTGCACGAGGGTGTTGGCCGAGCCCAGCGGGCCAATGAGAGCCTGCATGAGTTCGTGGCTCTGCATGGCCTCGCGCAGGGGCTCCTGCATCGCCATGCTGGTCAGTACGGTGGCCGCGTTGGCTACAGCTCCATCGCGTTTACTGGATAGGGTGTTTATTAATGGCTTGATGCCTTCAGCTTCAGCAGTGGCACTGAGTATAGGAAGGAAGAATGGAGGTTAGGTGGTTCATTGGAGGTCAAGAAATTCTCTTTGGAGCACTCAAAAGAGTTTATGTGGGGCTGGTGAGATGGCTCAGTTGTCTAAAGCACCTACTTAGAAAAAGCTTAGCGAAGCACAGGGACCGCGGTTCAATCCCCCAGCACCACATGCCAGCCAGCCCCGCCCCCTGGTGGGCTGAGCTGGCCACACACACACAAATAAATAAATAAATAAATAAATAGTTTATGTAACACAACCGAAAAGCACAGAAATGCAGTTTTTAGAAAGTGATTATCACGCCATGCACCCAGGACCCGGAACTAGTGATTTAAGTGGAATCTGGGACATTTTCAGGTGTAAGTGAAATAATCCTCTTTGTTACTTCTACAGATTTTAGTTATAGAAAAAAGATGACAACTACTGTTTTACAAACTCTATCACAACTGTTAATTATTTGATTTTATTTTACGATTCTGGGGATTGAACCCAGGGCCTTGGCACTAAGCTGTAACCCCAGCCCTTTTTGATTTTTTATTTGGAGACAAGGTCTTGCAAAACTGCCAGACTGGACTCAGATTTGCAGTTCTCCTGCCTCAGCCTCCTAGAATGCTGGTATTAAAAACTTAATTTTTTTACTCAGCAATGCTGTTAAGACTGGGAAATCCTATTAAAAGAAAGTCTATCACACTATTCTTGTTAGGAAAATGAAACCCTTAATTAGAGATAAACAAACATATAAACTCCTGTTTTAAGATAAAATCTCTGGCTTCTGTTCCTTTTTCTGACAATTGAGGGTGTGAACTGTAGACAGAGGCTATCATGGTTGAAACTAGAAATTTATTTTGCATGTAAATTTTGCTTTTACAGATTTAAAAAA